AGATTAAGTGTATCGCAGAGTTATATTCGGAAAGAATAAACCAGTTTTATTAGTAAAGACTTGTGTCGTTAAAGTTTCGTTGAAACGAAGTTACGGAAAATTAATTAACACACGGAGACGTAACAGCTATGTCACTTCTGATACTAAACACAACTAATTAGATTCGCTATAAGTTGTTTTACATTTAAAATATTTAATAAGAGAAATTTCAAGACTCACTCATGCACTTATTCACCTTCGTTTTTATTTTCGAATAATTTTGAAAACCAATGGTTGTTAAATTTTATGGTGAATACGACTCTTGTAGGCAAACACGTAGGGAATTAACGAATGTATAAAATACCCATAACTTTCTTGATAAAGTGAACATAGCTCAACTTCTTATTTGCATATCATACCTGTTTTACAGTTAGTATAACAGCGTCATAGTTCTTCTAAGTCGTAGACCTTTTGACTGTTAGTAAACGTACTCACTTTTGTATTTGTGTATAGTAGATCGAACAAACTATTCAAATTGTTGTAGTATACATAAAGGATGTAACCTTCTAGTACATATCTAGTTGCATTATATAATAAATGTAATAGGTATTATTTAATTACATTAAATGAACATTTAACCTAAAAAATACAGCTTTATGATCATTTTTAAAGAAGTGATGTTTTTCATGAATTCTGTGGACTCAAGATGTATTTTCCATCGTGGGGCGATACAGTAAAACCTAGTAGGACGATAATGTAAGACGTGTTGTGGATTATATCAATCATTGATATATAGGATGATAGTGTAAGACATGTTTTGGTTGTCATCTACCATTTATATGATAGAACGATACAATAAGAAATATTTTGGATGCCATCTACCATTTTCAAAGAAGGACGATACAATAAGAGATGATTTGAACGCCATCTACCGTTTCCATAGAAGGACTATACCATAAGGGATGTTTTCGATGCCATCTACCATTTATATGATAGGACGATACAATAAGACATGTTTTCGATGCCATCTACCATTTATATGGTAGGACGATACAATAAGACATGTTTTCGATGCCATCTACAATTTATATAATAGGACGATAGAATAAAACAAGTTTTAGATGTCATTTACCATTTTCAAGGAAGGACGATACAACAAGAGATGATTTGAACGCCATCTACCGTTTCCATAGAAGGACTATACCATAAGGGATGCTTCACATGCCATCTACCATTTACTTGGAAGGATGATACAATAAGACATGTTTTGGATGTCGTCTACCGTTGTTGCTTGAAAAACAAATGCTGGCCACATGCCATCTACCATTTACTTGGAAGGATGATACAATAAGACATGTTTTGGATGTCGTCTACCGTTGTTGCTTGAAAAACAAATGCTGGCCACATGGCATCCTTTTTAATGATTGTGGTATTCAGGCCGATGATAACTAACAAATAAGTCTAAATTTTAACCTCAAAAAAATTAATTATTTACAATAATTGGGTTTATGTTTATTTACAATACTGACCAGTTTACGACTTTCCGATGACTTAATTGTCTGAGTGGAGAGTTGACAAAGACATACAGCTTCGAACTGTTATCAAATGCAATCTTTACTTAACAAGTGTTTACGACCTTCGACATCCACAATAACACTAACTACACGCAGAACACCAGAATTAAAATATAGAAAAATTACCTAAATCTAATTGAATAGATATAATTCCGATCTAGTTATAAAATAGTGAAATTATTAACTGTTCCAGCTATGGCGCTGTATTATGAGGCATATCGCGTAGCACGACGGTAAAAAAAATGGTGATCGAGCAGTATGCGCAGTAATGATATCGTTTGTTATTTTATCATGCCCTTTATCAGAGGTATTTTATAGAATACTTGTAAATCTTCGCCCTGCATCTTATACAAAGAAGACTCTTATACGACACTGTAATCACAATACAATTTATTAGACAAAAGTTTCGGTGATTCCGGGTGTTTATTTTTTATCTTTAATACGTAAAGAAAAAACTAATTTGGTTTACTTTTTGTTAACTTTCACTTACCTCTCACTACGAGTATGATCACCATACTACGTTATGTTGTTATGGTACCTCTCACTACGAGTATGATAACCGTACAACCTTATGTTGTTATGGTACATCTCACTACGAGTATGATCACCATACCACGTTATGTTGTTATGGTACCTCTCACTACGAGTATGATCACCATACCATGTTATGTTGTTATGGTACCTCTCACTACGAGTATGATAACCGTGCAACCTTATGTTGTTATGGTACATCTCATTACGTGTATGATCACCATAATACGTTATGTTGTTATGGTCAGGCAGTTAGTGGTTTGATTAACACAATATTTTTGTGAACTTACAAGTTAAATGAACACTGTTTGAAAGGTTTAATGCTTTTGTGCATTTGTTCGAGTGTATCAAAATAACAGACCACTAGTATGTTCTTATGAGTAATACATTTTTTTCTGATTTTCGTTATTTTGGGTAAAGTAAAAAAAAATATTTAAATATATAAACTATTAAAAGATCTATAAGCTCATTAACTTAAGCTAGTCGATCCTTGTGGGACCTTATTAATAATTACAGTACAAAATACCGTTCACAGTGACAGCACTTGGTTGATGAATTAACCTAGTCATTGAACGTTTTTTGACGATTTTATATAAAACTTGTAGTTTCATTTATATTCGTAAAAAATTGGTCGCGAACTTTCAAACAAGTATGTAAGTATATATAATGAACTTTTGTGGCTTTTCTCTTCTCTATTATATAACACGTGATCTGTAAAATAATACAAAATTACAAATTATTTATCTATTTAAACTGTACATAATAATTCCTCTGAAGGGAGATATATGAAAACAAAGCTTGTGTGGTTATCATATAAGTACATACATATTATACAAATGTAATGTGCATTGAAGACACTTATTTATCTTTTACCATTTCAGTTGTTATATTGAATTTCTTAGTTTAGACGTTCTATCATTTCAGACTTAATGTATTGTAGTTTGGTTCTAGTAGCTCAATCTTCCACTTTAGAAACTCTTCAGAAACACAAATGGGAAAACGCAATGACTTTGGATCGTGTTACCTGGCCGTTTCGTCGCAGCGCCACCTTATCAGACATCTTATCAATTCAACAGCTAATTTCCACTTTAACAGAAACTATCAGGTAGGTGTTCGTGTGCCTAACACTTTCGAAACTTATGTTTTAAGTACAAACGAGCTTTGTGATTTGAACGTTCACATCTCAAATCTCCTTTGATCTCTTATTACATGAACAATTAAGGGATATTTTACTTGTTCTGATTAACTTTATCTGATTTATGAAATATTTCGATTATCGTATGCGGATTATGCTCCTTTGTTCTATAAAAAATATGATATCATGCTTACACGTCCTTCTTGAGAACTTACAAAAGAAACCATGTTTTCTGGTCATTTGAAACCAGGTAAATATGTCGAACTGATCAAATGACTGATTTTTTTATTATTCTTTATGAAAGGCTATTTCAGACACTATATAAATTATGAATTGTACAGTATACCAGGTGAAACGACAAACAATCTTCCGCAAAGATGCATATATTTTATTATTTTCATTTTCTTAGCTTGAATATTGCCTTTGCTCTTTTAGTTGCTAGCTATATTTTATTATTAAATTCTCGAGTAAAGTTATGTCCACGTGAAAACACTCCACTGTTCATAATGAAAGTTTATACGAGAATTATTTTACTACTGAGGATCTACGTTACTACACAGTTGAATGTATAATTCAAATAAAAGGAATTCTCCCGTTACTGTGTACTTTACGTTTTTATTGTAGTTGTGGTGGGAACATCCTTATCAACGTCGGACCCACGCCTGACGGCAGGATTCCACTGATTTTTGAGGAACGACTCAGACAGTTGGGTCAGTGGCTGAAAGTGAACGGTGAGGCCATATGAGCGTATCGTTCTGAAAGACCCATGGCTTGGTTCCATATAAGTGGAGTCTGGTAAGTTGACTTAATGTGGTTCTACGGTAAACATTGGTTATCACAAAGGTGGCTAAATGACGAGCGTTCCGTAATATATTGAAAACTAATCCTTAGGTTAAATCTCGGTACAACTTCGAATAGCTTTAAACAGCTAAAACTTATTCAGGTTTTAACTCAGTAATCTGCCATTCAAACGTTTTGCAAACCCAAGGCCTTAAAATCTAACAGATAAGTTACACTGACAAAAATATAATCAGATTAAAGAGATAGACACGTGGTCTTTACAACTGATTTATTGTAATTATTAACTACTTACATATATATATAAGAAACTTGAAACTGACTGGCTTTTAACTACTTCTGAGCACAAGTAGCTTTAAAATAGTTTGAAACAGTTGTTAGATTATAATTAAGAAACGCATGGAATATACACAATGAGCCGTGTGTGATTTATTTATATATAATTATATATTTAAGAGTGTGTATTATGGTGTACATATTTATATTTAATATCAGAATACTAAAATATTTAATACAAATGTATTGCACAAAGCAACGAAGTACAAATTATTAGGTAATTCATACAAAAGGTAAAAAATTTAATTGATTTTTTACGTCTCTTAAATTTTAGTATATTATTATCAGTATTAGTGCAGGCTAGTTCTTTGTTAGGGCTCTGATTTTCAGAGCTGGCCAACAGGGTTTGAATCCGTGCAATACGACACACACTTTAAAAACTGTAGGTTCGTCATAAGAGTGGCAATCAGTCCTTTAGCATGGATTGTGGGTAGTAGGGTTCTGCTGACTGGCTCCCTACTCTCAATTCAATAGTTCAAAATTAGAAACAGCAGCAGATAGCCTTAGTAGCTGTTCCATAAATACAAATAAAAAATACAAGCTTTCACCATATCAACCTGTTTAATTCACTAATTGCTGTAATTAACAAAAGCCAGTAGCTAGTCAGACACATTCAAGCACAGCCAATAGATGATCGTGACACAAAAACGCCAAAATATATTACAGGAAATGGTTCTACGCACTCTTGCTGTGAGAACCACTTTTCTAACAATCAGAACGTCTGTTTCCTATCGACAAGTTTCTTTCCTATTGGATCATCTTTATCTCTACTATGTTTGTTCGTTGGTCGTTGATTTACCGAATTGCTAACTTTTAAAACAGTGTTGTTGTTTTTTTAAATTGGATTGCGTGTTTCACAGATGGAAATCTGTTATAGGTTGATAATGTCGTATTTGATTGGAAACTTTCAGGGACTGAATCCGTCCTTTCACAATTCAACAGGCAAACGCAGCCCATAAATATTTCAAATCCAATGCATACAGTGTATTCTGCCTAACATCTCTCGCAAACAAAAATGCTGTGTATGAATATATTACATATTTTGCCAATCAAGTTTTACTTTTTCTCTTTCCCCCTTTATAAACACATATATACACAAATGTTATTGGATATGTTTCAGCGTAGAAGTACATGATATTAAAATTTATGTTAATTAAACTTAACTTTATGAAAGGATCACGTGTAGTTTCGCTTTGAAATGCATATTTTTAACTGCTTGTCTGGATGTCCAAAATATTTCTGTTTGTGAGATTTCCACTACTTTTAAATGATTTATCTTAATCTCAGGTACACAGCCAAGGAATTGGAAAAAGACAAGGTAACGGTGTACGTGATTGTATTGAAATGGCCGAAAAGAAACAAACTCCAGCTAGGAACGTTGGAACTATCTGAGTCTTCTGTTATTAGTATGCTTGGTTGGAAAGATGATCTTAAATGGAGTCGAGCTGGGAAGACAACCCTGGTTTACTTCCCTTCACTAACTCCAGACCAACTTCCATCACCATGGGCGTGGGTATTAAAAGTTCAAGGGTGGAAAAATCATTGAGCTTTATTTTCTTGTAATGGATACAAAAATATACCTTTAATAATGTAATGACTTGACGGAACAGATAAAAAAAATGGATTTAAGGAATCTCTACCAGCCAGTTGAGTATAATCCAAAGTAAGATTGCTTCAATATATACTATTCTAATGTACATTTAATGAGATATAAAGAGAAACTTATATGAAAAACGTACTAATCTTTGAGTAGTTTAATAATTCCAGCACATTGTACATTATCTATAATTTGAATAGAAGCACCTTACGTAAACTAATCAAATTATCCAAATTTCTGTAAAATTACTGTTTTGTTCTTAAGCAAAGCAATTTATCTTACTTGAACCAGTCTACGTCCATCGAGCACCAGCGAGTAACTGGGGATTAACCTGCTAAAGACGAGCATCCCATCTAGGAGGGATGCGTCACATTCTTATCAGCTTGTGTCACAGGAGACCGTAGATAAGCACTGGAAATATATGCTCTACCAAGGCGCGACAAGGACTAACTTGCTTACTAACTTTACTGTAAAACGAAGAAGCATTCATAGGCTGAACTTTCAGCTGTTCTTTAAAATTACTTTATCGACGGACAAATAACACTCAGAGCAACTCTTTCAATAATTTAGCATTAATAACTTTTTCTTATATTGAGAGGTAGATGACAGGATTAAATTACATTTATTCCACAGCAAAAAGAAAACAAATCAAGATTTTATACTAGTGTTCTGTGAACTAAAATGAGAATGCACTGGAATAATTGAAATTTTGGAGTTACTACTTCTATACCCTATAACAATGTTTGTACTATACCTGCTAGGAAGCAATACCTATTATAATTACTCAAGGGTATACCTTTTCGGGGATGCGATGACAAAATTATTTTACTCCGTTATGTCTTTTAGGGGTGTAATAACACAATGCTTCTCTTTAAGATTGTACTTTTTCAAGAACGCATTAAAATTTGTGATCTTTAAAGATGTGGCCCGGCATGGCCAGGTGGTTAAGGCACTCGACTCACAATCTGAGGGTCGCGGGTTCGAATCCCTATCACACCAGACATGCTCACCCTTTCAGCCGTGGGGGCGTTATAATGTGACGGTCAATCCCACTATTCGTTGGTAAAAGAGTAGCCCAAGAGTTGGCGGTGGGTGGTGATGACTAGCTGCCTTCCCTCTAGTCTTACACTGCT